GTTTCAAGCCAATCTGATCAATTTTTTATTTCGTTGTCCGCCATATTGAATCCGCCATTTTGAATTTTGGAAAACTAATGTCAGATTCGTAATCAGTGACCGCAGAAACCTTAAGGTACCAAGTTTCATAAAAATCCATTAAAAATTATTTCAACACACTTTTGGCCCAAACAGTGGAAATCTCGTTGACAGCCAAGGGGTTAAAATTGTATTAAAAATAATTGAAATCCTGCGATGAGTTTCAACAAATTATGAAAATAATTGAATTTTTGCCACGAATTTTATTAAAATGTTTCAAAATAATTGAATATTGAATATTCTTCCTGAGAAGAATTTTATTTTTTATAAAAATAATTAAATTCTTGAGAAAAACTTAATTAATTTTTTAAAAAATTTAATTCCTCTGATCTCTGAAAATTTTATTATTTATAAAAATAATTGAATGTTTGCAAAGAATGTAATAAAAATTTTTTTTAATAATTGAATTCTCTTGTGAAATTTTTTTTTAAAATACTAGATATTGAGAAAAAAATTAAATTTCGAAATATTTTTTAATAAATAAAACGCAGAATCAATTTTTTACTATTTACCTACAATTTTTTATTTATGAATAAAATTTAGAATCTATTTTTTTTACTATATAGTGTCATGCAAATGAATTCTAATTTAAAATCGATTTTTATTTAATTTGGTCAAATTTCCACTAAAGTTAATTATTAATTTATTATACGACCGAAATCATTTGAATTTTCATTGTAACTGCATTTGTTATTTTAAGCGAATTGTTACTGAAGCAAATTGTCCGAAGCTAATTATCATCAGTCGAATTTTTAATTGACCGAAACCAGATGTAACCGCGAAATGACAATTAAACAAGTATTGCTTTAAAAATTTATTTCGTCTAAATGACAATTTCACACAAAAAATAAAGAATCTTATTTTCAGAAAAAACTGAATAATTTACTATAATTAAATTTAAAAATCAAATTCTGAATTTAAGAAAAACACGCATTTAATTTGTGTCTTAAATTTTAATTTTCTAATTTTTATTTAAAAAATTCTAATTTAATTTTTTAAATTTAAAAAATAAATCTTGATAGCATATTAAACAAAAAATTTCAATATTTAAATTTTAAAACTGTTAAATTTAAAAAAAAAATTTAAATATCTGACTAAAACGAAACTCTACTACTGAGACCACAGTCTACAAGAAGTCGGAAACTTATCCCTAAACACAACTTTCTTTTAAAACTACAATAAAATAATCTGATAACATAAATTTAACTATTGTCCGACTAAAATTAAGTTGTACTACTTATTTAACCTCCAGAAAATTTTATGGAAATGTATTTTATAATTAACTACTGTTAATTTGTTTTGTTTTCATTTTCAACCGATGGCTGACTAAAGTAGACTTCTACTACTGATAATGCGTTTATTAAAGTTTATTTAAATAAGTTTATAAACTTTAAACTCATGGCTGACTAAAATAGACTTTTACTACTTTCTCTTCTCATTATTTTCTTTTCTTTCTTTTAATTGCGGTCATGTCTACAACTGTAGAAGTTGAAAATTCGTTGTTTTTAGAAAAATTTAAAAGCAAAAAATTTTAAACCTACTATGTGATGACCATCAAAATAAATCAAAAGTGAGAAATATTTCAACAAAGAAATCATCTAAAACAATGAACAGAGACACTATTTGATTCATTCCAATAAACATGAAACTCAATATACAAAACTAATTAGTTTTGTTTCCAGTTTCATGTCGATCAGGATGAAACCAAAGTCTTTAAATGTTCACCTGATTGTCAAATAAAGTACGCTTTTAATTTAGCCTCTCTTGTTCGAATTATTTTATTTTTAAATCGAGCCATTGAAAATTTTGTTCAAATTAAAATTGAAACATTCTATAAATACATGTCCTCGCGCAATTTCATTTATAGTAACACAAGTCTCACAATTTAAATGTAGAATACAATCATAACACCTCACCAAATTTTTTCGATATTCACTACTGTGAACACCGGATGACAAATATAGAACTGAAATTTCAAAAGGGGGAATGTATTTATTTTTCTATTTATTCTTGTATTTATTTATTTTTTATATTTTTTTCTACAATTACATAAGTTTTAAGCGCATGTCTTTACCCATTGACAATAAAATAAAAATTAAATTGTCTTGTCTGAGTGTAACTGACTTGCACTACTGACATTACATTCGAAAAAAATTATCTCTTAACTTTCAACAAATCTATATAAAAAATAATCGATTAAAAGTAGCGTCTGACTAAAACCGACCTCTACTACTGAGTTCTGAGTCTTGTCTGACTATCGATGGTTTACACTACTAACAATACATTCGACAAAAATTGTCTCCTGACTGTCAACAACTTTCCATAAAAAATAAACGATTTAAAAATGTGAAACTAAAACCGATCTCTACTACTGAATTGACTTTTACTACTACTACTATTACTACTACTACTGCAATAATGCGTTTATTAAGATTTATTTTAAAAAATTTATAAACTTTGTACCCATGACATTCCAGCTGTGTCTGGTTACAACAGACTTGTACTACTAATACTACAATCGACAAAAATCGCCTCATGACTTTCGACAAATTTCTAATAAAGCATTAATTCGTTAGGTACTGTTCTACCTAAATCCTTTTTTGTACCTACGACTAAGTCATATGTTTTCATGGAAATAGCCAAGTATCTGACTAAACTGGATTCTTACTACTTCAAAAAAATGTTCTATTATATTTATTTACGAATTTCTTTAATTGTAAAATTATTCTAAAAAATCAATAACTTCTTTTTTGAATAAATATTTAATCATTATTATTTTTCCATAGGAATTAAGATTTTTGAAAATTTCAAATTCAAACCTTTAGAAATTCAATAACTTATAAGAATATTATTATAAAACATGAAAGCATAGACGAAATTGAGAAAATTTTTTTAAAATAATTGAATTTTGGAGAAGAATTTTTTAAAATTTTTTAACATAATTGGATTTTGGCGAAGAATTTTATTACTTTTGAAAATAATTGGCTTTTTGCGATGAGTTTTATTATTTATGAAAATAATAATATAATAGATATTGAAAAATCATTGAATTGAGGAAAATTTTTGAAAATAATTGAAATTTTTTCAAGAATTTTCGGGGATTCTCAGCGTCACTGATTGCGAATTCGATGTTAGTTTTTTACTTCTTGACAGTCCATGGCTCATAAATTTAAAGTCAGATTTAGAAAATTCAAAATGGCGTACGTAAAATGGCGTCTAAAAAATTTTTTAATTTACCAGATTTGCTTGAAACTCGGGGGTTGTCGGGGTCGCTCATTACGAATATGATGTGAGATTTTAAATTTTAAAATGGCGGATCTAATATGGCGGATAATTTTAAGATTGATACGATTGTATATATTGTCGTATTTGTCAAAAATGTTCACTCTCGAACGCTTTTGGGGTCACTAAATCCAAATTTGATGTCAAAATTATAAATCGATGTCGTCAATATATGACAACCAAAATTTTAAAAATAAATAAAACTGTGATGTCAGACTTCAAAAATGCAAAATGGTTTGTAAAATTTATAACTAATCATCAATGTAGCGTATGTTTTATTGCAATGTAGCGTATGGATCAGTAATTGAAAAAATAAAAACAATATAGTTTACAATTCACAATTTTAAATTAAATTCGAATTTCATAACTTTAAGAACTCCCAAATAAATATTTTTACACAAATCTGTCAACTTTTGAAAAAATGGTCGCCATATTTGATCCGACATTTTGAATTTAGATAATCTGACATCGGGTTCGTAATCAGCGACCTCGAAAACCCCGGAGTAACAAGTTTCGTGTAAATTGCACGCAATTTTTAAAAATTCGTCAGCCATATTGGATCCGCCATTTTGAATTTTGGAAATCCCCCGAGTAACAGAGGATATCGAAATATATACATTATTTTGTGAGCTATTGTTAATTTTCTTTTCATAACCTGGGTTTCGTGGTTGAATTGTTTATAAATAGCTGTAAAATTTACAATTTGTAATTTTTGACTGGAACACTTTTAGGTAACTTTGATAATACTATTAACTTGAATTTAACCTACTTTTTAAAACCTTAAAGGAAAAAAAAATTGTGTACCAAAATTTTCTCCATTTTCTTTCTTCGTTTGTAGAACTACTCAGATAATAAAGCACTGAAATTTGCAGCATATAATTTTTGTCCGCCTAAATAGAACTTTCCTATTTTGGAAACTTTTGTCTGCCTTAGTTATGTTTTAATAAAAATACACAAGTGTCTGACCAAACTGGATTCTTATTACATTCTCTTTCTTATTCAACACTGAAATTTCCTGCATATACTAGTTATTGGCTAACTAAATTCAACTTTTTCTACTTTATTATATAAATAAATAAAAAATAAATGAAACCATGTCAAAAAAAGTAAAACAAAATCCAATTTCACTATTTTGAGACAAAAATAACATGAGACTTTTGATAGTCGATATATAAACTATGAAGCATAGAATCCGAAGTCTGAAATTTGAAAATAGGAAAATACGTCTAAGAATCAAAATCCGAACCTTCGACAAGTTGTCGAGACTGACGGTAAACCATATAGTTTCCAACAGAAAGGGTAAATATTGACTATATAATCTGAAGACGGTAGATGAGGTGACTAGAGTAAGGTGCTCTCCTAACTTTGAAAGTTAACATTAGAGGGACAAAACCCTGTCAGTGTACCATGAAAATGTGCGGCGCGGCGCACTGTGGCTGGCAAACACATAACTCTCGAATGTATAAGGTACTTGCTCAGGCGCAACAAGGAAGGCGCCTCGCCTCGCCTTTATATAAAGGACTCGGTAATTTATATTCGTTTTCACTGTTTTCATGCCGAGTTGTGGATGCCAAAACGATGTGTCTTGCTTCCAGTTATATAGACGTATATAGATATACAATATGGAGAAAAAGACTTACCCCCAGGAGCAACTCGGTGAATGGGAGCCGCTGGCGCTGGCGGAACTGAACCGGCAATGCTGTAGAGGGTTTGTCCACTTCCGTATTTATTGAGGCCGCTGCAGTGACACGGTGTGGTTGGCGTTGTGAGCCCCTCGTTTCCCCTAAATTTTCAAATTAACACCAATTAATGCTCAGCGCTACAAAGCAGTAAATTGTAATCAATTTTTTTTCCTTCTCTTTCACACAAGTCTCTAGACACTTCATTACCTCGATATTATTTTTTACATTTTTAAAAATTACTGCATTTTTTTTTCCTTTACAATTTGAATACATTAAACATTTATAAGGTTTCAATTATTTGAAAAAATATTTAAAGTCTCAACTGTTTAAATACTTAAACAGGGTTGTGACTAAAAAAACAAAATTTAGTCACAACCCTGACTTTTTGCTGATTTTCAGTCAAAGTTTCGACTATTTCCCTAATCCCTAAGAACAAATTCAAGGACCGTTTATTTATAAAAATTCAATATTTAAAAAAACTTAAATATTAAAAAAAATTAATATGACCATTCTCATCCCTCGATTTACATTTAAAAATTTGAATTCATCAATTATTTTTATTAGAATTTTAGAAAAATTTAATTATTTCAAAAAATTTGAATATTTGTTTATAAAAATTCAATTCTTTCAAACAATACACTGAAAAAAATTATTTGATTCAAATAACCGATTAATTGACTATTATTAAAATATTTAATTGAATCAAATAATATTTATTAGAGTCAATTAAATGGTATTTGCTTCAAAATTATTGGTTGAAATATCATTTAATTGACTCCAATAAATATTATTTGATTTAAATAAATATTTAATTGAAAATAGTCAATTAATCGGTTATTTGAATCAATTCAATTTTTTTCAGTGTAGAACTGAAACATTAAAAAAAATTAATGTGTCAAATTTCCTCTCGACTACTTTAAAAAATTTCAATAAAATTCTATAAAAAATCCAATTAATTTCTATATAAAATTTCAATTATTTAATAAATCTTCAATAATGTTTAATAAAAATAGAAAAAAATAGAAAAAATAGAATATTTTAAAATATGAATGTGTCAAATTTTCCTCAATTATTTTAAAGAATTTTAATAAAATTCTCTATAAAATTCAATATTGTTTCTAGAATTTTAAGAAATTGGAAATATTTAAAAAATATTCAATTATTTTAAAGAAAATAGAACTGAAATATTTTCCAATTATTAATGCTTTAAACTTTCCTTGATTTTTTTTAAAGAATATTAATAAAATTCTTCTAAAACTTAAATTCTTCTTAGTAAAATTTTAGAAAAGTGCAATTGTTTAAAAAAATTTTAATTTCTTGGGTATAAAATGTAATTATTAAAGAAAGAATTGAACTATTTAAAAAAAAGAATGTGTAAAATTATCTTCAATTACTTTAAAGAATTTCTATTAAAATTTTTTACAAAATTCAATTATTTTTTTGTAAAATTCTAGATAATTTCAATTATTTAATAAATCTTCAATTATCTATAGGAAATAAAAACAGAAATATTTTTAAAAATGAATGCGCAGAACTTTCCCCGATTCTTTAGAAAAATATTAATAAAATTCTTTAAAAAATTCAACTATTTTTAGGAGAATTTTAGAAAATTACAATTATTTTAAAAAATTTAAATTTACTGCGTATAAAAATAAAATTATTAAAAAAAAGAACTGAAATAATTAAAAAAAAATATTTCGAATTTTCCTTGTTTACTTTAAAGAATTTCAATAAAATTCAACCATTTTTAATAGAATTTTCGAAAATTCTAATTATTTTAAAAAATTCCAATTACCTATATGTATAAAAATTCAATTATTTAAGAAAAAGAACTGAAATATTTAAAATAATGAATATCTCAAATTTATCTTGATTACTTGAAAGAATTTAAAAAATAATATTCTTTAAAAAATTAAATAATTTTTTAGGAAATTTTAAATATTTAAAAAATTTTCAATTATTGAAAAACATAGAACTGAAACATTTAAAAAAAATAAATGTGTTGAATTTATCTGGACTACCTACTTTAAAAAATTTTAATAAAATTCTCTAAAATTTTTAATTATTTTCTGTAGAATTCTAGGAAATTTCAATTACTTGCTTATAAAAATACAATTATTTAAAAAAAATGGAATACCTTAAATATAGATGTGTCAAAGTTCTCTCGATTAGTTAAAGAATTTAATAAAATTCAATAAAATTCTTTGAAATTTTTAAGTACTTTTTAAGAAATATTAGAAAATAAAAAATTGTTTTTTAAAAATATTTTTTGACATAATGAATCAAAATTTATAACACGTAATTTTAGAAATTTGACATTTTTCCAGTCCCTGATTTTTTCCCGGGCTTCTTTTCTTAGGTTTATTTCTTCACGACGCGTCACATATATATTTAACAATTAGAATACAAAAAGGATAATCAGAAACATTTAATTTTGAAATATATCAGTTAATAAGTTAATCATAAGTTATCAGTTTCATAACCTCAAATACATGAAGAAAATAATTGTCTACAATAAGGTGTGTTTACAATAAACCTCTTATGTCCTTTCAGAAATGCGAACATAACCTACAAAATTAACAATTATTTTATTTATTCGATTTATTCGATTATATCAAATTGAGACAAAAAACGAATAAAAAATGTTGCGAAGCAAAGTTTTTGATTCGTTTTTTGTCTCAATTTGATAAAAGAAGAATTAATAAAAGAAGAAAAATAAATACAATATTTAACAGAATTGTAGAGAGGGCGAGAAATGAAAAGTTACGGATAAATAAAGTAGCCTTTGACAATTCTGACCGATATTCAATTCTCGATAATTAGTGTGTGAAAATATTGAATAAAGCGATTAAATTTTTGTAATGTGAAGTTATTACTATTAGTTCAAGAGTCTTTGTTCGGATAACAGAATGTATTTAAAACGAAATCTGCTAACCAGAACAGGATCCAAAAATAATGACTCTCTAGAGTCATTATTTCTGGTAAATCTCCCTCTCACTCACTCACTCACTCACTATCTCCCTCCCGCCTTTTATGAATTCAGCTTTTTGTCAATATTCGTAAAGTATTCAGAGTCGATTCAATGCAATAACAATCATATAGTAGGATATCACTAAAAGCGAATATTCAGCTATAAAGGCGCAAATTATTGCCCACGAGAGCGTTGGTTGCGTAAACATAAGTCAACCCCAGGGAAAATGCGTATAGCCAACACGAATCGTTACTGATTCTCATTTTCTTCTTCACAATATATTTTTTTATCTACCTCTATTTTCATGTCAAACAAAAAAACAGGAAAAAAAGAGAAAAAACTGTATTCACCAAAAAACGTCAATTTTATAAACTCTAAAAATTGAATGGCGAAAAAAATACCCGAAACATGACAAATTGGATGGAAACTTTGCAGTAAAAAATAAATATGGATACGAAAACATGATTTTTCCCTGAAACACAGATAATTATTATACTCATGAACCATTTTCGTAAATATTGGCATACTATACTAGAAATGCATGTACAGGGTTGCCACAAAAATTTTATTTTATTTTTCCCTCATTTCCAGTTAAAATTTTGACATTTTCTCTGACCATAAAGAATAATCTGATTCACTCTAAAAATAATTATAAAGGTACTCAAAAAAATGTTCTATTATTATACGTATTTATTTAAGAATTTCTTTAATTGTAAAATTATTCAAAAACATGAATAACTTTGTTTTTAAATAAATATTTAATCATTATTATTTTTCCGTAGGAATTAAAATTCTTCAAAACATTCAAATTCAAACCTTTTTGAATAACTTTTTTTTCAATAACTTATAAAAATATTAAAATTATAAAACATGAAGACCAAGTGATAAAATCATTATTTCATATTAGGTATAAATAATATGAGAATATTGTTACTGTAACTTCTTCAAAATTATTTTCATCATTTCATTTCATTTATATTATTTTCTACAATTTTTAAATAAAATTCTTTTTTTAATCAATAACCTATTTTTAATAACTTTTGATAAAATTCTTTTGAGAATTTTCAAATTCATTTATTTACAATTCAATTTTACGAAAATTCGATAACTCGAAAATTCTTCAATTAAATACATTAGAAAGTAGTTCCATAGAATTTTTAATTGAAAGTATGAAAAATTAAGATTTTCAAACATTTTAATTTGAAACTTTTACAAAATTTAATTATTTCTAAAAATTGCAATGAGAATTCAATTACTTAAATACAAACAAACAACAACCAAACAAACAAACAAATTTTTAAATAATTGAATTCTTTCGACGAATTTCAATAGAATTTTTTAGAATAATTGAATTCTTTTGAGAAATTCGATTAAAATTGAATTAAAAATAATTGAAATTCAGTGATGAATTGTATTATTCATGAAAGTAATTGAATTATTGCGAAGAATTTTATAAAATAGTTTCAAACAATTGATTTTCTTCCTGAAAATTTAAGCAAATTTTACTTCTTTAATAATTGATTTCCTATAAAATTTTTATTATTTTTGAAAATAATTGAATATTCGTGTAGAACTTTGTCAAGATTGTTTTAAAATAATTGAATTTTTTGGAAAATTTTATTATAATAATAGATATACAAATCACTAAATTAAGAAAAATTTTTGAAAATAATTAAAATTTTGCAATGAATTTTATTAAAATTTTTGAAATAATTGAATTTTATTACTTTTGAAAATAATTGAATTGTGATGAATATTGTTACCCAGCGGGCACACTTCTCTTTTTGATAACTTCTAGTTATCGTTTTGAGTTGTAATGAATGTAAGGAAATTTAAGTGCGGATTAGCTCGCCGGATCAGGGTTCGTGGTAAATAAGAAAAAGTTTTACAAACACTACAAATTTACGATAACAAAACAACGGTTTATTAATATCAAAAACGAATTAATTAATTAACATAAGTGAAATATAAACGATATAAATGAAGTAAAATACGAGCGAAAAATAATAAATGCGACGACGTTTAAACGATATACGAAAATACTAAATAAAACGATTAAATAAACGACGAAATAATACGAAAACGCGACGGATTACGAAATACGGTTATTTTACGGGAAACGACTAAAAA